CGGTTGTCCAGCAGCAGCTTGCTGCACGGGGGGTGGGGGTGGGGTGGGTAAGGTCATGGAGGGCCGGCAAAGGAGAGGGTGGGGGGCAGGGAAGATTGTGTGGGGCGCCGGCAGGGAGGGCCGGCAGGGAAGAGGGTCGGGGGCAGGCATCCGCGCGAGGAGCTGGGAGCTGGCGGGGGGCAGGCAGGGAGGGCCGGGGTGTGCGGCGGCAGGCAAGTGGCAGGCAGGCAGGGCGGCCGGGGGGCGGGCCTAGCAGCCAGCCACACCCCACCCACGCCCCACTCCGCGCAGCTGCGCCCATCAGGCAGCGGCAGGCAGCAGCCTGGCTGAGGAGCCCGCACCCACCACCCCGCGCCCGCACCCAACAAGCAACCCCACCGCCACCCCCCTCACCGCACGTGCTCCACAGGGTCCCGCTGCTGCCTGATGCTGCTGATCTCGTCGCGGGTGCTGCAGGCAGGGAAGGAGGGAAGGGGAAGGGAGGGAGGGAGGGAGGGAGGGAGGCACAGAGGTGAGTGGAGGTGGTGGTGGTGGGGTGGGAAGAAATGCAGGCGAGGCTTGCGGCTGGGGAGAGGGCAGGCGTGGCGTGCCGGCAGCGGTGGCTGCTGCTCGGGAGGCGGGAGGCCCACCCCAGCCACACCGCCGCGGCACGTCAACCCGACTACCACCGCGGCGGCGGCTCACCGGTAGGTGGACCCGGGGTCAGACATGGAGTGGCCGTGGTACCGGTAGGTGTCCATCTCCAGGATGATGGGACCTGCGGTAGGGGCAGGCGGTACCGTGCGGTTCGGGTGTGTCACACAGGAGTGGGCATGGCAGGTGGGAGAGCTGTGGCGGGTGGGCGGGCACCGGGTGGGCGGCAGTGGCTGGCCAGCGGGGCTGCTGCCGCGCATCACACACTCAGGCGCGGCTGTATCGCCGCACTGCACCGCTGTATTGCTGCACTGTACTGCTGTTGCACTGCAGTACACAGCTGCTGCACTGCAGGACGCAGCTGCTACCGCAGCAGCTGGCAGCAGCAGCTGCACTGCCCACCGTTGGCCACCGCGTGCTGCTTGGCGTAGGCAAAGGCCTGCTTCACTGCCAGCACATCCATGCCGTCGCACTGCGGGCGGTGGTGGCGCGGGGCGAGGGGTGCGGGTGGTGGTGGTGCGGGGCGAGGCGGAGCAAGCCGGAGAGGGCGGTGGCGGAGTGAGCCGGGCAGCGGGTGTGGTAAAAGCACATTCGGGCGGTGGCGCTTTGGAAGGGCAGCATGGCAAGAGAGGGGCAGGGCGGTTGGCAGGCTGGCGGCTTGGCCGGGGTGGGCGCAATGCATGCGCCACACGGCATGGGGGTGCTGCCAGGCTCCTGCCGTGGAGGAGACGGTGGGACCGCACCCACCCACGCATCCCCCCACCCCACCCCACCCCACCCCAACACTGACACACACAGACACAGACACACACACACACAGCCATGCGCACGCTTTCCTAAACCGCCCCCCACCTTCATGCCGGGCATGTAGTCGCCGCGGGTGTAGAAGGCGGGGGACTTGGCGGCGCGCCACTCGGCGGTGCCCATGCCTGCGGTACCGCGGTACAGTGGTACATCGGTGCGGTGCAACAGCATGGCGCACATTGACAGCACATGTGTGCGGCGCGCGGGGGCAGGCCGGCGGCACGCGCGCAGCCTCCCTGCCACTCCGCCTAAGACATGCGGCATTGGTGCCTGCCCCACGCAAAGCTTGGTTTGTGCCAGGTATAACGGTCTCAGGGCAAGACACACCAACCGATGCATGCACCGTTTGTTTTCGGTGCGAGGCGGGCACACACCGTAGTGGTTGTTCTCGCACACAAAGATGCATGGCAGGTCCCAGAGGGCGGCCATGTTGAAGGACTCGAAGATCTGGCCCTGCGGTACGGGAAGTACGTGCGGTACCGTACACATCAATACACGCAGCACATGCGGTACATGCGAGGGATGTTGGTGTGGGGGTGCGGTGTGCGCGCGGCGCGGCGGCAGGCACGCCCAACCGCAGAGGCGGCAAAGGAAGCCTGCTGCAGGCGGCAGGCAGCGGCGGCGCCAGGGGCGGGCAGCAGGTAGCAGGCAGCAGGCGGCAGGCAGCGGGCAGCACAACAGGCAGGCGGGCAGGGGGACCGCACCTGGTTGGCCGCGCCATCGCCATACATGGCCACCTGACAGGAGGGAGGCAGGGGGTGGGTGTGGAAGTGGAACCAAAGAGAGGCTCAGCGCACCAGGCCGAGGCCTCCCAGACAGGCGGCCAGCCAGCATCATCATCAGGGGCGCCCGCCGGCAGCCGCAGGGGCTGGCAACCGGCAGGGCCGGCGGGCTGCTTGCAGGGCTGGGGCGCTGCTCCTCACCGCCACGCCGCCGGTACCGTTGTACTGGTGGGCCAGCGCCAGCCCCGTGCCCAGCGGTACCTGCAAGGTACGGTGGCGGCAGGCAGGTAGTGTGTGTGTGGGTGCGTGGGATGGTGGTGCGGGTGGAGCGGGCGGCGAGACGGGCAGCAGGCTGGCAGGCAGGCAAGGGGGCAGGCAGGCAGACAGGCGGGCAGGCGGGCAGGCGGGCAGCACCAGCACAGGACGCTGCACCCCTGCCCACCTGCGCCCCCACGATGCCCTGCCCCCCAAAGAAGTTGGCCTCACGGCGGTACATGTGCATGGAGCCGCCCTTGCCCTGCGGTACAAGGCGCGGTACAGGGTACAGTACAGCACACAAATCCGCACTCGCCTCCTCTGGGCTGGGCAACTGGCGGCGCCCGCGGCGGCGGCGGCCGGCAGCTTCCGAGCGGCTACCTTGGAGGCGCCCGTGGTGCGCCCCATCAGCTCCCCGATGACCTCAGACACGGTACCGCCACGTGCCACGTGAGTGGCGTGGTTACGGTACGAGGTGATGATCTACAGGCGGTACCGGTGATAAGGGCAGCGCGTCTGGGTGAGGGGGCCTGGTGCGAGGCGGGCTTGCAGGCAAGGTGGCCGGCAGTGGAGGAGGCGCGCGGCTGCAGCCTGCCCGCCCAGCAGCAGCAGCAGCAGCAGCAGCGGGCAGCAGCGGGCAGCAGGACCAGCAGGTGCTCCGTTCACAGCCGGCGCCAAGCGTGCTGCGGGGCGGCCTGCGGGCGCCGCCACATCCTCGCACATGCCCCCCACAGCAGATGCTGAAGGGGCTGCCTCGCTCACCAGCCGGGCACCCCACCAGCACCACCACCAGCACCACCACACCCACCCACCCACCGAGTCATTGTGGTCCAGCGCCGCCTCCAGCCCCACAATCACCGCCTCCTGGCCGTCGTAGCTGCAGTGCGGCGGGGCGACAGGTGCAGCAGAAGGGATGGAGATGATCGGGAGGGCGGCGTCGGTAGAGGGAAGGGCAGGGTGGGCGGCAGCCGCGCGCCGCTTGCGCTGCGGGCGGCGCCCGGGCGGCGGAGGCGCGGGGCGAGCGGCACGGGCTGCTTGCTGGCAGGCGGGGGCGGAAGCCACGGCCGGCGCTGCGCCGTGCTGCGCTGCGCCCGGCCGGAGCGGCGCGGGCGATGGGCAGCAGATGGGCAGCGAAAAGAAAGCGCGGGGCAACAAGAAAGCACTGAGCGGCCCAGGAGGAAAGCTCACAGGTGGCAGAAGCCGCGGATGGCCTTGGCCTTGTACAGCATGTCTGCAGAGATCTCCATGCGGCGCAGGCGGTACAGCTCTGCGGTACGGGGGCGCGCGGCACGCGCGGCACCGCTTCGGGGACGCGGCACGGCAGGGCGCGGGCCCATGAGGCGGCGGACGCGGGCGTGCCGGCGGCGGCCAGGCGGCGGCCCTCAAAGTCAAAGGTAGCAGCCACCGCCGGGCGCAGCCACAGCGGGCCATCCAGCCCTGGCGAACCGCGAAGCGACGCAGCAGCGCCCGGCTGCAGCGTACGCCTGAGGCAGGCGCGTAGCTCAGATTCCGTCCACCCTTCCCCAGCAATGCGGCGCCCCCAGCGCCCGAAGGCGCCCGCAGCGCCAGGGACGGCAACCCCCCCTGGGAAGCCCACCGGCACGCCGTGCCGCGCACCGATGCACCCTAAAAACAGGGCCTGTGTCGCAGCTTCCTGTTCGGCTATGCAGGCCGTGGACACAAGCAGCAACACAAAGAGCAAAGAAAGAAAGAAAGAAAGCATACGCTCACGCTTGAAGTAGGCCAGTAGTTCATCCTTGGTGGCGGTGACTGTGGTGGGGGGCGGGTCGATGCGGTGGGTCTTGAAGGGGTTGACCTGCGGGGCAGCACCCACCAAAGGGTTAACCGGCGGCGCAGCACCCAGCGAGGTTTGACTCGGATGGGGTTTGAGCGGCGGCGGGCAGGGCGAGGCAGGGAGGGAGGGGCCGGGCAAAAGTGGGTGGGTGAACCATGCTGGGTGCACTGCCGGCAGGCGGGGCTGGTGGTGTTGGAGCTAGCGGCAGCACACCCAGGATGGAAAGTAACAACAGACGGAGGGTGCGAGGCCGGCCAAACGGCGGCGGGTGCGCTTCCGGTGCCGCGGCAATGCGGGCAACAGGGTGATCATGCGCGGCGCGGGAAGGCGGCGGCGGCGGCAGTGCGAGGCGCGGCATGCGCATGAGCGGCAGCGCAGCACAGGCACGTGCCGCTTGTTCCATCAGCCTGATCTAGAGACCAGCAAGGCACAAGCAACAGGCTCGAAACGGCTAGCGGCGTCGCAAAGGCGGCGGCGGCTTGGGCCCCCCCTGGACACCCCGGCGCTGACCCACCTCGACAGTCAGCGTGTCTCCGTCCACCGTTGCCGAGGCCGCAAAGCCCCGGCGATGCAGGGTGCTGGCCAGGCAGGCCAGGGAGCCCCCTACCGCCTGGCGGGCTGCCCCGGCCGCAATGCTTGACACGGCTGCCAGCATGGCCCTGCAGGTGGTGCTGGGTCGGTGCAGGCTCCTATTGCCAGCGCCGCAGAAGCCCTGGAATCGGGGAGGCGGCGGGGGAGGGGCGGGGGAGCCGGGCGCTGCACTGGCCCGATTGCTGCGATCGCACAAGGCCTCGAGGGGAGCTCAATCGGGTCTTCGCCGGCCCATGCTGCGGGCTGCTGCGCCAGCCTATCTGGGTGGCTGCAGGCCATTCCCAGCGCCCGCAAGCCTCCCAGCCACAGATCTGCACCCTCACACCCCGACCCTCGGCTGTTCACGGCAGGATGAGCGCCCTGGTTGCAGCAGCCCCGGCAGCGATGGCGCCCCGCGCCGCCCACCCGGCTCGGGCGGCCCTGCGGTCGCCCTGCCGTAGCGCCTTTGTGGCCAGGATCCAGCACCGGCGGCCAGCAGTGCGGTCGGCGCGCGTGTACGCAGCAGATGCCAACGTCAAGGCTGCAGGCGAGCTTCCGAGGCGGCACCCCCGGCGCCCTCATGATCCCAGTGGGCTTGTGGCAGCTGATGGGCCGCCCGCCGGCCCGCGCTGCTGGCCCCCAGGCCGGCGCGGCCCCGGCGGCAGCGCGCCGCCCCGCGGCCGCTTCTCGCAGTGCGATCACACTGGCTGCCCCTGCTGCGCTTCCCTCGCAGGCGCGGGCCCCGTCACCGACTCTACTTGGGAGGAGCTGGTCCTCAAGTCGCCTGTCCCTGTGCTGGTGAGTGTGGCCGGCGTGGATGGGTTGGGTGGGGCGCGTTGCCGCCGCCGCCGCGCACGCCGCGACCTGCGTTGTAGCAGCATAGTCGTGGCCACTCAGCCCGCGGGAGCACGGCAGAGCTGCGCCGTCGGCGTGCCCACGGCAGTCGGGGCGCGCTGGCATGCAGTGGGCAGCGCCTCCGGGGCACACCAGTCAGGCTGGCCCTGGCTTTCGGACCATGCACGGCCGTGCGCGGGCGTCGGCGTGCCGGGCCGGCCGGCGGCAGCAGCGCGGCGGCAGCAGGCGCGGCGGCAGGGACACCAGCCGCGTTCTCCGCTCCGCCCGCGCGCCCAACCGCTGCCCACGCGCACACACCCGCGCCGCTGCTGTCCGCTCCGCTCCGCGCGCCTGCTCTCCCTTTTTAGCCACGCCTCACTCGCACGAGCCCCTCCCACCACCACGCACACCCCACAAACCTACTCCAATCCCGACCTCAATCTTAAAACATAATGTACACGTGGTCGAAAACGCGGTATGTGTGTGATCCGACCCGGCCCGAACCCACCCCGCCGCGTCGCCTGCCCCACCCCCCCCTGCTCAGGTCGACTTCTGGGCGCCCTGGTGCGGCCCCTGCCGCATGATTGCGCCGCTGGTGGACGAGATTGCGGCTGAGTACGGCGACAAGCTGCGCACGGTGCGCCCCTGCAGCTGCTGCTGCCGCCGCTGCTCTGTGTTGCTGTTGTCTTTGTTTATTTGAAGGGGACGAGCTGCCCACGGCGCGCCTGTGGTTGCTGCCGCTGGTGTCTTTGCTTGTTTTGGTTGGGATCTGTGTATGGGCGCATGGCTGTCGGTGGCTGTGCGTGGCCGCGCGGCTGCCCTGCCCCAGGAATGGCCTGCTGGCTGGCTGACAGCGAGCGGGCGGACTGCCGCTCCTCGCCGGCGGCCGCCGTGCCGCCTCCCTCCCTCGCCTCTCGCCCTCGCCCTGTCGCCTCCCTCCTCCTCCGCCTCCCGCCCTCTCCGCTCCCCCTCCCGCCTCCCAACCACCCCTCCCCCTCACCCACCCGGTTGTTGTCGTGCCGTGCCGCCGCGCAGCTCAAGCTGAACACGGACGAGAGCCCCAACGTGGCCACCGAGTACGGAATCCGCAGCATCCCCACCGTCATGGTGTTCAAGAACGGTGGGTGCTCACGGAGGGTGGGGATGTGGGGCGCAGGCCGCCGGCCCGCCTCTGCCCTGCTGCTGCTCCTTGCGGGTTGCTGCCGGGGGGTGGGGCTGCTGGTGCTGGGCGCCGCTCGTTGTCCACTGCTTGCTTGCTTTTTGCTTGTATGGGCTTAAAGTCTGGTCAAGCAAGAACTGCTCAACCGCTGGCTGCTTCCGGGGTGGCGGTGTTGCTGCTGCTGGGCGCGGCTCGTTCCTCCCTGCCCTGCTGCTGCCCCCCCTCCCCCGCTGCTGCCCCCGCACCACCAACGCGGCCACACCGTGCCACCTGCGTACACGCCGCCGCCCTGCCTCCCTCTGGCACCCAACGCAACAACAAGCCGTGTTCAGCACCATAACACGCACCCGTCCCCTCCGCCGCCCGCAGGCCAGAAGATGGATGCGGTGATCGGGGCGGTGCCCAAGGGCACGCTGGTGCAGACTGTGGAGAAGTACATGGACTGAGGGGGGCGGTACGCTGCGGTACGCTGAGCTGGCGACGAGCTGGCGGCGGCGCTGGAAGGCAGCGTTGAAAAGCCGTGCAGCTGGCGGCGGCGCTGGCCCGGGCTGGGCGTGTGTTGGGGCCGAGCTTGTGTCGGGGCTGGGCTGGAACTGGTCCGTACGCACACGGCACGGCACGGCCCCCGACACGGCCCGCGCCTCGTCAGCCCGGCCCGGCAGCCGCCTTGCGACGTCTGCGATTTTTTGTACCACCACCCCCCCTGCCTTCCACCCTCCGCCCTTACACCAGGGGCATGCACAGCTGGCACTGCCCACCTTGCCTTCCTGCCTCTCCCATTCATTTGTTGGTTCCCACCTGCCGCCACTTGACCTGATGAAACACAGCCGAATTTCGTGGCTGCCGCCCAGCCCGCCCCGCGCCCAGCGGGAGCAAGGGCCGACGCGCGTTCGCCACTTCTTTTTTCCTCCCCATTTTGCACCCGCCCTAGCGGCAGCAGCCGCCCGGCGCCAGTGGAGATGCAGTATTTGAGCGAGGAGCGGTAATCAGCCTGCCTTCCGTCCGTCCTTGCCTCCCCTGCCACCGCACCCGTCCAGTCCCACGTCCATACAAGTGTGTCCGTCCCTGTGTGCCGCCGTCCCCGCCTGCCTCCCCACCACCACCACCCCTCCTGCCGGGCTGGCCACGCCATTGTGCCTGGCCCTCCGTTTAATATCGTCAGTGTGGCAGGCCGGATTCGTGAGGGGGAGCATGCATGCACAGGTGCCAGTGCAGAGGGAGGGGCGGCAGCGGGTTGGGACAGCAGTTGTGGCAAGCGGGCTGCTCAGCATGGCACCAATGAGCTACTGCAGCTGGCTCGAGATTTGTACATGTGCTGCACAGAGCAGCTGGCATGACGCAGGTGTGTGTAGAGTTGTGGGCTTCAGCATCCCTCCGAGTCTGTCGGATGGGGGTGGCAGTATCCACCAGCCCA